TACACCGAGAAGCAGACGGTTCGTGTTCTGGCCACATTGCCGGCTCTCGTTGTTTTGGGCCATGGAAAGAAAGGTACTTCCAAGTGATAGCGAAATCACAAGAGGCAAGACATGACCAGTAAAAAGCATGTTTTTTCTGTGTGCCAAGTACTTACATACAGTACAGGGTCGGGCCACTAGCTTAAACATGCCCATTTTTGCAGGTTTTGCCAAAAGTTGCTTAGATACTGTTTTTTTATAAATTTGGAGATGATACAGGCATTCCCGGGTGCATGACCCGCTGTGGGTTCCTGGCTTGGGCAGGAAAGAATTTAGAGTCGAGCCAGCCTAGAGTTTAGAAGTGAGAGAGAGTTTATGAGTGAAGCCGGGAGACAGCGGGGCTCCCCACAGACTGCAGCCCCTCCCAGTGGGTTTACTTCCTTTACTGAGGCTCATTTAACGGATTTTCAGGGACAGGGGTGGAGACTTCTCAGAGGATCGGTTATGGGCTTCCCTTGCCAATCTTGGTGGCCCAGTGCCTCGTGTAGCTGCTAATGAGGCGAGGGGTGATGCTGGGTGAGATGAGCCACTTGGGCCCAGCTGGTCTTGTGCAGGGTCTAAGCCTTAGTCTGGTGGGGGTGGGCTTCCGTGACGGTTTCTGTAGTTTTCATCGATCACAGTTCTGCCACATACCCTGCCTCAAAGGAAGAAACCTTTTTAAAAATATACTCTCCATGAAGCCCCTCTTTCTGTTAAGCTCGGCCACCATAACAGTTCCGTTCCCGTGTGCGCCAAGCTTGTGTGAGCTGAGTGAGACAGGCGTCGGCCTGCAGCGGGGAGCGGGTACATCTCGTGTGATCAGGACGTAAAGATAGCCTCGCCCTGCAGCTTCGACCAACATCACGGAACTGGCCATCAGGAGAGCGTCCCTAGTGGAGTGTCTTTGGGAGGGTTGTTCACTGAGGTCCTCCCTTCCTGTGGGCCTGTCCTCCGACGCCCACAGGAGGCGCTCAAGGTCCCGCTGGCTCTCACAGGCTGGAAAACCACGTACCCCGGGTCCTTCGGGGAAGCACCTTGAAATAAAAATATCTTTCTCATCAGAGTTATTTGCCAAAGAAAACCACGAGCTGCGGATAGCAGGCGGCGCCGTGCGGGACCTGCTGTCCGGCGTGAAGCCGCAGGACGTGGACTTCGCCACCACCGCCACGCCCGAGCAGATGAAGGGGCTGTTCCAGGCGGCCGGCGTCCGCATGATCAACAACAAGGGGGAGAAGCACGGGACCGTCACGGCCAGGGTGAGGGGCGCCGGCAGCCACCGCGCTGCCCGGTCCTGACTTCACAGCTTACATTTCCCGTGACGACCAGCACACCACCCAGGCTCCTGGGAGACAGCCTCCCCGCTCCCCTCCCCTCCCCGGCAACGCTCCTTCCCACGGCTCCTTCCGCACTTACCTGCTGCCTGCAGGTTCCCGTACACCTTTCTGTGCCCCGGTGTTTCATGTTGATTTCTCAGTTTTCAGGTGGGGTCTGTTGACTTGAGGTCCTACTAGGGAGGGAGGGGGATGTGCCACACCAGCCGCGGCGGTTTCTCAGGGCATCGTCCTTGGTGTTGGGTTAAGTCAGCGTCCGGTGCCCCCGTGCCCTGTGCACAGCCGCATCGCAGGCGTGTTGTGACCACATTTCTGGTGTCACGTGACTTTATGGTCCTTGCAGTTAACAGCATTTTTCTTGGACATCGCTGTCCGTGTGTGTGCCCCGATGTGTCCTGGGCTGTCACTGCCAGGGTCCTCTCAGTCCACTCCAACGACCAAGTTTCAGTCCTTGTTCCGGGCCCTCACCTGGACGGTCCGGGCCGCCTGCCCGCTGCCCCAGCTCCCCTGTGCCAGCTCTGGGAACCTCCTCCTCTCCCTCTTCCACGGCCTGTTCCTGGACGCCTGGCGTTCTTACTTGCTGGCGCCCTCACTCTGGTCTGATGGTTGTGTTAGCTGTGGACTTAGAGCGGGGAGTCCTTGCTCGGAACTGGGACGGCTCTTCCCGGAGCCTCCGGAGAAATCTCGGCCCGGGCGCGCCTCTCCTTCACGGCCTGAGGGTGCTTCCTTCCGGAAGCCTCTGTGGTCTTTCCCTCCCTGGTGTTTTCACTCTCAAGCTGACGGGCCTTGCGTTGCATTTGTTTCTCATGGGCCATACAGCGCCCCGGGTGGGCCTCCCGCGTCCTCCTCACTTCACCCTGGTTCACTGTCTCCCCGGAAACCCCTGTGACGCTGGGCATGGACCGCGGGGACGAACCTAGTTTTGCCTTTGGTCTCCTCTGTCATATTCTCATATCTTTCCCTTTGCTTTCCACAGGTCGCTGTAACTGGACCACCCAGTCTTTCTAGTCTTTTTGCAAATTTTGCCGTCTTGTCAAGTTCCTGATGGTCTTTCCTAGAATATTTCTTTTGAAAGCTTCCTGCTGTCTTATTTCCCTTAGAGTAGCGTGTAGACAGTGTCTTCCCTTCCCTCTGAGCGGTTTCTGTCTTTCCTTTGACTTAAATGGGGAGTCCTGGGCCCTCCCCTGGTGTTGGGTGTCGTCTGGGGTTTGTAAAATACCTGGAGAGTTTATGTCTCTGGACCCACGTCGCTATCAGTAGGGCGTGTCTTTGGGGGAAATCTGCGGAGCCTCCAGTTAGAATAGCCTGCTGTCTGGCGTTTTAAAAACCAAGTGGGGGAGGGGGTGCAGGTCCTGGTCACTTTTTTCACTTCATCGTGGTGATCACTCCCATGATCCTCTCTGTCTGCCGTCCAAGATGTGTCTGCTCTTGATCGGCCTTTCCGTGGGCTAACTGCTCTGGTGCGGGCGGCGTCCTGGGAGCCCTGTTTTCATAGCAGGTCTCAAAGAGCCTTCACATTTCAAACCCTTTTCTTGCCGCTTCCCTGTGCCTCAGACTCCTGAGTTCTGGAATTCTGAGTGAGACCAGCTGTCCCTAGGGGAGAGTGGGTGAGACAGGAATTCCAGAGCAGCCGTGGAGTGCTCGCTTGGCTCCCAGTTCCTGTGCGGAGATTCCAGGCGCCCGTGTGCATGTGAGACCCTGCGCTGCTCCCCCGCCATGTCTGCTCCCTGCTGCTCCCCCGCCATGTCTGCTCCGTGGCAGTGCCCTCTCTCCGTCCGCCCCTTCCTCACTGCACTGCAGCCATCTCTCCTCTCACTCGTGCACGTCTGTGCGCAGGTCCTGCTGAGTTCTCACGGCTCAGCGCAGGTCACGGTCACGAAGCTACTCGGCTTCTCACCGCTGCAGACGGTCCCTCCAGCCAAGGTGGACGGAGGCCTCCCAGCAGCCTCCTTGGTGAGGGGTGAGCAGCTGCCCGCTGTGCTCCCCGTTTCTCCTCTGTCAGCCCTTCGCTCAGTGGTTACAGTCTGTAACTGACACAGCTCTCTGCACACGGGGTCCGTCAGGAAGGTTTCAGAGAGCAGCCTGGCTTGAACCAGAAGCAGCAGGATCCACTGTTGTAAGGGCTTCTCCCCTCTGTCACATCACTTGTCCCAGTGGCCGTTTTTGTATCAGACTCATCTTTTTAGGAAAAGAGTCTGTGGATCCGTCTGTGCGTGTCCTGGGTGCCTTTCTGTGTCGTGCCTGTGCGCCCGCCGACTGAGAAGAAAACTGCCTAATGTCAGGACTCGCCCTTGTTTCCAACCCGTCGGTGAATCTGAAGCCTCATTTTTGAAAACCATGTAATTACAGCTGCATAACGAAAATTTTGAGATCACCACCCTGCGGATTGACGTGGTCACGGACGGAAGACACGCGGAGGTGGAATTCACGACGGACTGGCAGCAGGACGCCGAGCGCCGAGACCTCACTGTCAACTCGATGTTCCTGGGTAACGTGGGGATGTGTTCACTTCGGTCCTTGGTGTACCCGCCTGGGGAACCCTGGTTCCTGGCCCGCTCTGCAGCCCATGCCCGCACCCGCGAGGCTGCCTCAGAGACCGGGGCACAGTGGCTGCATTCGACTGCCGCCCGCCGGCTGTGAAGCAAGGGCACTGCCATCGGCTCTGTCTGACTCACTCCCTGAGCCTAATGCCCGCAGGGCCGCCCACACCCCAGGTGGCAGGTTTTATCCCTATTCACGGCTGAGTGATGCTCCAGTTGTGGGTCTGCCACATTGCTTCCCAGTTCCCATTTGTCACTTCTCTCCCCTTTCCCATGAACAGGCTTTGATGGTACTTTATATGACTATTTCAATGGTTATGAAGACTTAAAGAATAAGAAAGTGAGATTTGTTGGACATGCTAAAAAGAGGATACAAGAAGATTACCTTAGAATTTTAAGATATTTCAGGTAAGAATGTTTAAAATCGATAGTTATTACCAGAATACAGTTCTGACCATGACGTGTACGTAGTCAGTGCACGAAGCGGTGACATCCAAGTGAGTCTCCAGGGGAGACGTAGCCAAGGGTGAATGGATGGACGGGTGTGGTTTGAGGTCAGTTCTGAGATGCTGTGAAACACTCCAGCGTCAGGGACAGGCGTCACATTAGAAACGTCATTCATTCCCAATGTGACAGGCAGGCCAGCGTTCGGGCTGGGCTGCTCGGGTCGCATTCGGCCTTGTTTGGGCGCCTGGACAAGGGGCCCCTTTCACTCCTCCCCTGTCCCAGCTCAGGGACTGCGCTGGATGCCCCTCCAACTCCCTTGGTGACAGAAGTGAGTGAGGCGGGCGGCCTGGTTCTGGCCAGCTTTAAGAAGTTACTCGTATTTTATTGGCTTTTGGGTTTCTCATGTAGAAAAAAGAGAAGGTAGAGAACAGACCATAGGTGGTTGTGTGTGTGTGATTCACTAGGTGGGGAAGGTGCCGGGAGGTTGGAAACAGCTTCCTGGTTGGTGTGCCGACAGTGGGATACATTGAGAATTCTGTTTTGTAGGTTTTATGGGAGGATTGTAGACAAACCTGGTGACCACGACCCTGAGACTTTGGAAGCAATTGCAGAAAATGCCAAAGGCCTGGGCGGAATATCAGGAGAGAGGATCTGGGTGGAACTGAAAAAGATTCTGGTTGGAAATCATGTCAGTCATTTGGTTCACCTCATCTACGACCTCGGCGTGGCTCCCTACATAGGTGAGGCCCGGCCGCACGTGTCTGCACTGAGGGCGGGTGGAACGCTGGCTCAGCATTCCGTAAGGGCATGCGTTTAGTTCAGCTGAAGAATCCTCAGAGGAGAAGTGGAGTATTTTAAAATAAACTTTGAGGACAAGGTAGGAGAGTTTTGTCACGAGTGGGGGACAACTCAGACACAGCGTAGGCTAGTGGTACAGTGGCCTCTGCGGCCAGACCGGGGTTTGAATGAGCCTTTGCCACTTGTCGGTTCTGTGACGCGGGTTAGTTCCTCGACTGTTAGTTTCTGAATATAAACCTGGGGAGAAAGTAACAGCCTCTTTCTAATGAGGCTGGTTTGGTGAGTTAACACATGCAAGGCCCTCAGAGTGGCAGGCATAGCAGCTTTTTAGTAACTTATAATTTACTTTCAGAAAGAACGGGGTCATCTGTGCATCTTGTGTGGGGAAACTTGGGGATAGTTCGAATACAGACAGTTGTTGGAGCAGATGGATGCTCTTTTATTAGATCGTCACCTGTTTCTAAGGTTTTTTGAGAGAGAGAAACATTGGTCTGTTGTCTCCCATACATGCTCGAGTAGGAATTGAACTCGTGTCCTTTTGGTGCACGGGTGATGCTCCAACCAGCCGAGCCCCGCCAGGGCTGAAGGAGTGGGTGTCTTATGGTCGCACGTCAGTGAGTGGCCAAGAGTTTGCATTGGGTTGTGTCCCTTGGGCCTGATCACCATCTCTGCCCCCTGCTCAGCCAGTAAATGGACCCAGACGCTTTACAGCTCCCCTTGGTGTACAGGGCGAGGGGCGTGAGGCCAGCAGCCATCACTAGTCCCTGTGGATGGAGGGCACCAGATTGGACCAACACTGAGTCCTGGCCACAGGCATTTCTACCAGCAAAGCAGTGGCTGGTGTAGCGTGTGGGTGTCGTTCACTAAATGTACCCACCGCACAGACGAGTGAAAAATGCTCCTATCCCGACAGGTTTACCTGCTAATGCAAGTTTGGAAGAATTTGACAAAGTCAGTAGAAATGTTGAAGGATTTTCACCAAAGCCAATGACTCTCTTGGCCTCGTTATTCAAAGTGCAGGACGATGTCACAAAATTGGATTTGAGGTTGAAGATTTCAAAAGAAGAGAAAAACCTTGGCTTGTTTCTAGTTAAATACAGGAACGACTTAACTAAAGCAACGGATAGTTCCGACCCACTGAAACCCTACCAGGACTTCATTATAGACGTAAGTACATACCAGTCGTGGTCAGTGCAGTCCGTCCTAATAGTAAAGCTAACTTTTTGTTTTTTTAATATATTTTTATTGATTTCCAAGAGGAAGGGAGAGGGAGCGATAGAAGCATCAGTGATGTGAATCATTGATTGGCTGCCTCCTGCACGCCCCACACTGGGGATCAAGGGCACAACCTGGGCATGTGCCCTGACCAGGAATCAAACCGTGACTTCCTGGTTCATAGGTCGACACTCAACCACTGAGCCACACTGGCTGAGCAAAGCTAACTTATTAACACGAAGACCCACAACATGTTCTGTGGACTTCATATATTTTAACAGAATTTCCCACTGAGCATGTGTGTAACTCTAGGCTGGGGCCGTTAGCATGCTTTCTAATGTGTGTGGCACTGTCTGATGTTGGCCCTCAGTCCAGGGAGCCCGACGCCGCCGCCCGCGTCTGGGAGCTGCTGAAGTACCAGGGCCAGCCCGGCCTCCTGCGGGACCTGCAGCAGTGGTCCGTGCCCTCCTTCCCCGTCAGTGGCCACGACATCAGGAAGGCGGGCATCTCCTCCGGGAAGGAAATCGGGGCGCTGCTGCAGCAGCTGCGGGACCAGTGGAAGAAGAGTGGTTACCAGATGGAGAAGGACGAGCTGCTGAGTCACATAAAGAAGAGCTGAGTCCGTGGGAGCCGCCACCAGCAGGACATCTCAGTAAGCCGCTCGCGCCTCGGCCCCAGGAGGCTTGAGAGACTCGAGGAGCAGCTGAAGGCGGCCGAGGGTCTTCATAGAATAAAGCCTTTTACACTCTGCGAGTTGCGTACTTCAGACACGAGGTGAAGGCTGCCTCCCCTCGGGAGCACGGTACGTGCCACTCTGCACATGGCCTCCCAGCAGTCACAGGCGTGTCCGCTGCTGTCTCACAGCCCTGAACTGGCACCCTCCTGGCACAGTTCCCACTGAGAGAGGCTAGTTGCCTTGCCCATCTTAACCTGTGTAGGCTTTAGCTATACCCTGAGTAGCCACTCAGAGCATCTTTGTACTGGCAATAGCCATGTTTCTGTAAAAGCCCGGCTAAAAGGTGTGGAAACCTTTGGTGTAACGGGGCTTCTTCGGGAGGGAGCCCAGACCAGGTCTGTGGGTGCAGGTGTTGGGAAGCACTCGCTGACACACTCAGGACCCACCGAGCGGCGTCCCTGCACCCCAGGGAAGGTGTGCAGGCTTAGCGGTTTCAGGTCTGGGTTCCTCATGAATAACACACTTTAAAGTAGGATATGCGAGTGTTTAATTAGAGTTTTATTTGCAAGTGTCAGTGAGCAATATGGAACATTCTGAGATGACACCTTCAGGGGCAAATGTCACAGCGGTGTCCCGCCCTCACTGGTTTAGTCTCAGCACGGTGTGCAGAGCGACGGGCAGACACCGGTCCTGGCAGTCATCGGGGCCACAGGAAAGGGTGGGGACGACAGTGTGGAGTTTGGAACGAGGTGGCACGTGCAGGGTGGTCGCTGGCGTTTGTGGGCGAGGCAGTCCACACGGGTGCACGTTTGGTAAAAGACAGTCGGTTTTGGCCTCACGTTTTACCCCTTAGTTGAACTTTCCCCAATGAATTAGGTGAAGCAGCAAAGGACTAGCAAGACCACCACAGTTCACACCAATGGGAAGACGCCCAGTGAACCCCCAGTGTACAAGCAAAGAGGTAGGTGGCGAACCAGCGTAGCGAGACCTTCGTCTCCAAGTTACTTCTTACACCTACGCCATCTGCTCGCGTAGGCGCTTCACATCACTTAACAGAGAACGTGTTTTAGTTTTGCTCTTAAAATTTACTTAGAGGTTTTTTCCAATTGACCCTGAACAAAACAGCCTAAGAAGACAGCGTCTGGCCTCCCGGAGGGGACGCACTTGAGCATCTGCTCCTTAGTGGTCTAGGTCCCGATTGCACTTGGAACAGAACCAGCGGTGTCACAGTTCAGACACTGAGCAAATGCACACAATACTGGGTTTTTACTAACAAACACGTGAGAAAATGAAAACTGTATTTTGGGGCTCAAGCTGCCTCTCTCAACTCTAATATTTACAACCAGGATCTGAGAGACACGAGAAGTTGAGAGGAACACAGGCCTGTAAAGGGCTCTGAAGTCCTACCCACTGCCTCGCCCCTCAACTGGGACCAGGTGCCTGAGTGTGGCCCTCAGGAGCATGGACCACGTGCTGCTCTGCATGCGGCCTCACAGGGCCGCCCTCCAGCAGTGTCACGTGCTCTGTGCGGGACGGTATCTATCCGTGACGAGCTGCCTGATCCAGGTTGCACAGGGCCCTGGCACACGCTGTGGAGGTGGGCGTTCCTGGAAACCAAGTGTCCTGGCGGCTCTCCCTCACCCACAGGGCAGTTGAGGCTAAACCTCCGAAGCCCTGTGGCTGAGGCTGCCCATCCCGGGCCGCTGTGCTGGGGGAGCCAGTAGCGGGCGTTCCCACAGGGGACTGCCTGGGCCACAGCTTGTGAAGTGCCTGGGGCCCTACCGTGTTTACAAGCAGAGCACGACTTTCTCAGGGCTCAGCTCGTCCTTGGTGTCCGGGATCGTGGGCAGCAGAGCAGAGCGAGTCAAACCCCAAAATTTCTGGGGTAACATGTCCTTTTTGGTGGCTGTGAATTTCCATCCGATGTGGCTGGCACAGACCCTGCACTGGGCGACCGTCCAGGCAAACCTGCAGCGGGAAGGGCGAAGGGAAGGTCAGCCGAGTGGCCATCTCTGTGCCTCCAGCTTAGGGAGAGACGCCCTAGGGCCCTATTCTCAGCATCAGGGAGAACACGGAGCTCTGGTCTGCACGCCCCTCACACCCAGAGTTCCTGCGGGGCACGTGGTCCAGCTCCTGTGTGACCACACAGGTGACCGCCTTGCGGCAGCTGCCCCAGAGGGAGTGCTCTCAGGTGGGCAGTTCTCATGAGACTGAACCTCTTGAAACAGGAAGGCTCCGTCAGAAAGACTAGACAAGGCCCAGCTGGCGTGGCTCAGTGGTTGAGCACTGACCTATGAACCAGGAGGTCACAGGTCAATTCCTGGTCAGGGCACATGCCCAGGTTGTGGGCTCCATCCCCAGTGTGGGGCGTGCAGGAGGCATCCGGTCAATGATAGTCTCTCATCATTGTTGTTTCTCTTTCTCCTCCCTTCCTCTCTGAAATCAATAATATATATCAAAAGAATACAAGCCATGGTGTTTCTGCTCTTCAGGAAGACACTCCAAACCATGGAATCGCAGCCCTTTCACCCCTGAGCTTTCCCAAGCTTAGAATTTAGGTTAACACGTTAATTCTAGTTTTAGTCCTTGGACTAAAAAGGATGTTAAACCGACTGCCATGGTTCTAGCAGTAAAACCACTAATTCCTGCTCAGCTCATTTTGTCCAAAAAAGAAAGGCTGACCCAGATGTGGCAGAAAAGACATACTTGGGCCCTTGAAGAGGATGTGGCTGAGGGACCCCCCGGGCTCCCAGGTGGAGACTGCCGGGTGGCAGGGACAGGTACCCACAGGGCCACCCACCTCCTCCCCACCCCACACCAGGGAGCAGATGCAAGGACAGCCCAGGCGCCAGCCCCTCCCAGCGTGAAGGGCATGTAGAGAGAACCATTCATTCCATGGTGTACTTCGGGCTGTAACTCCAGCAATGCTACTTAGAAATCTCTGTGCCCAGTCATGGCAAAGCCGAAAGGAAAAGTCCCAGGACATTACCCAGGAAACCAGCTGTGCTGCGTGGACGGCCGGCCTATCAGGTTCAGGTTGGAGGCCTTGTACACGGTTAGCGTCTCATGCACGTACCCGTGGGGGTTCACGTAGGCCGCCATGGGCCCACACAGGGACAAGCTGCAATAGACGGCACAGGGTCAGTCAGCACAACATGGGGAGGGGCAGCCTCATTCCGACAGACTTCTTACGGGCTGACCAAGAAGCGAGGCTACAAGAGCTACGATTTCTGACCTGTTAGCTTTACATGAAAGCAGAGCCTTAGAGTGACAGCAGGAGCTGGCAGCCCGCCCAGGTTATTCAGCCTACGCTTCTCCATGTTGGCCAGAGGACCAGCGCTAGCCTCAGCCCTGCTGCAGACAGCGCCGTGAGGGCACAGCTCTGCTCCTAGCACGGGAGTCAGTGCAGCCAGGGTGCCTCCCCGGCTGGCCCGTCACTGCAGACAGCAGTTAGGAAAGCGGCATACACGGTTCAAACACTCCCTCAGCACCAGGCCAGGTCAGAGCATCCCTGCTTGATCGGGGCCAAATGTGGCAAAACGATGTTTAACAGGACTGACTGTGATGCCTGAGGCATAGTAGGTCCTTCCCACATCCTAGACTAGTGGTCGGCAAACTGCGGCTCCTTGAGTGTGGCTCTTCCACAAAATACCATGTGCGGGCGCGCACGTACAGTGCGGTTGAAACTTCACGGCCACATTCAAGGGGCCAAAGAGCCGCATGTGGCTCACGAGCCCCAGTTTGCCGACCACTGTCCTAGACCAGTGGTTCCCAACCTTCTTTTGGCCACGTCCCACCTAAGCATCTCTCAAATCCTGATGGCGCCCCCCTGCCCCCCGTGACACAGAATTCTTATTCAAAAAGTGAGCTCCTATTCACGAGGAGGAAGCCTAAAAGGCCATTCACTTGATCTAAAGAAGCTTCCAAAGAACATGGCATGAAAGAGACAAAAGAACGAAAGGACAGTTGAAGTACTGAGAATGAAATTACTAAGAAATTGTTAAAAAATAATATGAAATTATATGAAAAAAACAGCAAATAAAGTTTCAAAACATAATAGAGAACAAAAATGCATAAATAGGTCACAACATATATACTGTATATGAAGCCCCTAGGACAGTGGTCGGCAAACTGCGGCTTGCGAGCCACATGCGGCTCTTTGGCCCCTTGAGTGTGGCTCTTCCACAAAATACCACGTGTGGGCACGCATGTACAGTGCGATTGAAACCTCGTGGCCCATGCGCAGAAGTCGGTATTTTGTGGAAGAGCTACACTCAAGAGGCCAAAGAGACGCATGTGGCTCGCGAGCAGCAGTTTGCTGACCACTGCCCTAGGACCATAAGATATGCAAAAAAATTCAGTTAATAACTCATTCTCAAATTGCCTATTTAAAAATCAAACTGCCCCCCTGAGGCGTGTGCCCCATGCTGGGAACCGCTGCCCTAGAACACAGATCCCAGCAGGGACTGAGGCAAGACGTCCGGCTCTGCTGCTTGTCCCTGAGCTGGGGCTGAGGGAGCCCGCGGCCCCTCACGGTTCACTTGCTGAGGAACTAGAGGTGGAGTGTACGGGCAGCGGAAATAGTTTTGACAATAATTGTGTTAAGACAGCTGGGAAAATGTACTCAGAAGTTTACTAAAAATGTAATAAATATCTCACCTGAATATTTCATTTTTGGTTGTTATTTTTGTTTCCTGACATTGTTTACAGCACAGAGACGTACACTGGAAAATTAAGAGGAGGTTAGTGGGGAAACGCGCTCACATGACAACGAGATGACACAGGTCACAGACACCCCCCTAAGGGGCCCGAGTGCTTCCTAACCCCTCCTCCTGGCTGAGAGGCTGACACCACCGGTGCTCAGAGTCCACACCGAGCGGACACAGGGGTCCACGGCCCAGGAAGGCAAACAGCTGGAGCTCCCACGACCCCAGGGAAACACTCAGGTTGTACTGTCCCCTCCAGTCCTCACTGCAGGCCTGTGCCACCTGCAGGCGCCGCGTGGGACCCCAGAGCCACGCGCTCCCGCTGCCTCGCGCTGGGGGTGCTTGCCCACCTTGTTCATGATGTCCAGTTCGCAGCGCAGCCGCTGGACAGCACTGCCGATCTTCAGCAGCTGGATCCTCAGCACGTCGTCGATGGGAAGACAAGCAGCTACTCTGTAAGAAAAATCTGAGAGGCGTGGCGGGTTTTCACGGGTGAAACTTGGGAAGCGGTGTCTTGAAATCCTCCTCTAGGGTTTCCAGAGGAAACTTCACACCTTACAGCCGCTAAAGCAGACCAGCTACCCCGCGTGCCCTCTCCTCTCGGGAGGTTTACAATGCGGCTTTCCTGCCCTTGTTCCTCTAAGGGCCTTCTATAGATTAAACACAAAGTCTGACACGTTAGGGGTTTATTTGCTAAGAGACCAGAAAAACGGCTACACAGCACCTATCAGAGCACAGGGTGACGTGTGCAGGTCCCGGAGCAGGGTCCTGTCAGCCAGCTCGCCTCCAGGGGAGGGAATGGAGCAGGGACGGCAGCCTGGGCTGCTCGGGAGAGCCCCGTGGGAAACGGGGTTCCCAGCATTTCACCTGTCATCCCACTTCCTAAATGCACTCGTTTTTAAAGACTCAAAGCAAAAGAAATGCCCTTCTCAAAGCTGATAGAAACACTAGTTAAGAAGCCAAATGTGTTTGGTTCCGTTCAATAAACATTTCCTACCTATTGGATTTGAAGGGAGAGAGTCATCTTTCAGGTTTTCGTCCCATTCCCGCAGCTGCTGCTTGATTCTGTCCATTAACGTTTCCTGTAAACACAGGAGCCCTAATGAGGCTCAGGCATTTACAATCACTGTGCTCTTCGCAGCTCCGAGACCACGCACACACTCCTCGCTAGTGAAACCTGCGTTCCAGCTCAGCGTCTGTTTCTCCTGGGGGATGACCCAAGCCCCAGCTGGGCCTGGCAGCTGCCACCCTGGGCTCTGGGTCTGGCAGGCGCCCGCCCTGGGCTCCGGGGGCACCAGCCTCCTCTCCTGCCCAGGAAGCCTTTCCTGCCTCCACCCGGGATTGAGGCCGTGAGCTGCAGGCACTTTCCCACGCAGGAGCGAGCGCTCACCGCCCCTTCACAGTGTGCGCACAAAACCCGTGTGCTGGGTGTTGGTTGTGAACTGGTCTCCTCCGTGGCTGTGCAGGTGCTAAGAGCTCAGCACCTACTGTGGAGCCCCAGGTGGGACTTGCGGGCACTGTGCCTCCCAGGAACGGGGACCGTGTGGAGTGTGGACTGGGTGCCAAGCGCAGCA